TTTTTTGTCCCCCCCCCCCCCCCCCCCCCCCGCAGCTGAGGATGGAGTATCTGTCTCTGATGCATGCAATCATGCGTTCCACACCCTACCTGCAGCATCAGCATCGCCTCTCTGACCTGCAGGGTACCTTGCAGCGCATTTTGGCTGAGGAAGAGGAGGGGCAGCAGTGCCAAATGGACAAAATGATCATCTGGGAAATGTATAAGGAGTTCCCAGAAATCTTGCCAGGCACCAGCTAACTGGCCACTGGCTTGGACTGGAAGAGAGAGCCACTTGGAACAAAAATGTCTCATGTTGACACTTTTCCCATCCCCTTCCAGTCCTGCTTATACTTTCTATTCCTCCGGGTGAGGCCGAGGGTTCAGGCAGGCCCTGCAGAAGTGTCAGTGATAGAACACCCCAGCAGAAAGCATTTTAAGGGCATGGAAGGAAGAGGACGATTGGCCCTAGTGCCACGCTCTGACTGGGGCTGAAGGCATTCATCAGCCAACAGCTCTGTGATGGCACAGAGGATGAGTGAGGGACTTCCTGACCTGGCTGCTGGCTGGCTTTGGATGGTTAGCAGTGCTGGGGTCTGAGGTCCCAAAGTAAAAAGCCTTGGTTGTAGCTTGGTTGACCCTTGTCCCGGCACACATCTCTCCCTGCATTACCAAGTGGAGTAGGCCAGTGTTTTGAAGAAGCCTTTGTAACATCTGTTTTGTTTTCTGCTGCTAGTGCAAATGTGCTGCAGTCCTGGCAAAGGAGCTAGCTAGCTGCGTCTCCAGTACTGCGTCTAGTGAGCCTTTCACTTCCTCCTGTCCCCTGGCTTCTCTCTGAGCGACAGCCCAGCACCTGGGGTGCTAACGGCCTCGTCCAGCAGCTGCTTTTTCCCGTAGTGATGATTAACTGGGAGTGTCTCACTGTGCTGGCAGAGTAGTAACCTTTGTCCAGGCAGTGTTATTTTTGCGGAGGCATCTGGCCTAGATGCAGCACTAAGGTGTGCCCTGCTAACTGAAAGCTGCAGCATGTCTCCTAATGTCTTCCCAGCCTCTGGAGCACCACAGAGGTGTGTATTGTAGCTAGGCCCGTGGGGTGTTCTCTTTTTAAAACCTGTGGATTTCTTGCCTTGAGCTTAGTAGCAGTTGGTTCTGCTTCACTGTACCTCTTCTCCATGTGCCAGCAGCCTGAAGCTTGCTGGAGCCTGGTCTCCAGTAGCTTTGCTTGTGCATAAGCTTGGAGGGCCAGCGTCTCTTCGGCTCTAGTGAAAAGGATTAATCTGTGTGTTACGGACGTGGTCGCAGGCTGACATGGGTCTGTAATCTCTTGTTCTGCACAGGCTTCGCGGTGCTTTGTGTAGAGGCTGTTAGAAATGAAACTGGAAACACTTAGGCAGCTGTTGGTTGGTTTGTTAGCAGCTGGATGAGCAAAACTTGAAGTCTGTGTGGTGAGGACTTGGGCCCCACGTGTGATGTTGGTGTGAAGCCCAGAAAGGGATCTTGTGGTGGCCCTCCAGCCTAAAGAGGGGGTGAGTCATGAAATCAGTGTTAGAGGATCCAAAGCTAACAGGCAACCCTGATAGAAACCAATCTATTTTCCCAATCAGAATGTCTGAAGGTCAAAGGGAGCTGTATTTTCTTAATCACTAACATAAATGTAAACCTGCAAAGGAATAAAACCGTCTTAAAAGCTGGACTCCTGAGAACACTTCTGTTGTCTGCTGCATCCGGTTACTGTCTGAGATTCTTGTATCTTCTTGTGGGGACTGAGGAAAGGCAGTGCAAAATTGTATGAGCCGCTCGCCCCCGTGCTTGATTGTGTTCACTACATGTTAGTACAAAGTATGTGGTTGCACATCTTTTAGTGGGAGTTACCATAATGCAGGCTGATTTTCAGAAACGGGAGCTCCATGCAGGGAAATACAGGAAGCCCAAACCCAATTCCCCTCCCCAGTCTCCAGCAAAGGGTGGGGAAAGCAGGGATGGAGAAAGCGAACTGCTCTGGCCTCTGAGTAGAAAGGAGTAAAAGATGGGAACATTCCCATTCTTCGGGGAGGAGATTCCAGTGAAAGGACTCTGCCCAGCCTGGAATGGACAGCAGCAACCAGCCATTCTGTTCCAGCCCCTTTGTGCTGCTCGCCATGTTGCACTCAGCAGCCTGCAAACTCTCCTCTCTCTGGTAGCTTAAGTGTTTGAGTTGAATGCTAGTGCAGGTCACGTCCTCCAGTGCAGACATCCTCAGTCTAATTCCAGCAGAGCTTCCACCTCACTTGGCAGCCTGCTTCACCCAAGATTTGAAGGGTCTTCATTAAGCACTATGGAATCAAGCTGCTGCTGTTGAAGTTAGCTATGTATCTGTTCCCAGAGCCTCAGCCCTTCCCATGGGGTAGATAAAAGGGAGGTGGGGATACGGTGGGTGTTAGAATACGGCCTGCTAGGATGGCTGTGTTTTGAATGCTCTGGTGAGAGCTGTCAGTTGCCTGGGAGGTAGGACTCTGGCTGGCACTTGGAGTGCCGGGCTCTGACAGCTGTTCTAGGCTTATGGTAATTCCTTTCTGTTTCAGCCCATCTGAGGGGGGACAATTTCCCAGAGCATTGGGCTTGCCTGCCAGCCTCCCTTCTCAGACAAAACCCACCAAGGGCACTATTTCTTGGGGGGGACAGTTGCCGTCTTGAGTCATGCCATGTGGTAGGTCTGGGCGTCACAGCGAGAGAGGAAGAGGCCTTCACACCCTCCTCCACTGGTGGCAGCCAGATCAGGTCCCCGCTCAGTGGGGGCTGGGCCGCGGTGCCTGTGTCTGGAGCAGGCAAGAGGGGCAAAAAGTTTGGAACTGTAGGGAGCAGGGAGGCAACACTGCGATGGGACACGTGCAGTCCCTGGTGTGGAGCTACATTGGCTCTGCCCTGGTCTGGCCACTGATGCCTGTGAGTCCCCATGGTGGTGGGAGGCCAGATGCCAGCTCTTGCCCAGGCTGCAGGCGTTTGCTAAGAACTGACAAACTCATAGCTGGAGACCAGACCAGCTTGCTTGTATGTTAGTTTTGCTCAGGATAGGCATTCGTTTTATCAGAATGTATTCAGTGTTTACACTCTATGAAGTGCTTGGAATTGCTTCTTGCAGGCATCTCACTGGTGACTATTCCAGGCTAAGGAAAATAGGTAAGGTTTGCCTTCTAACTTTGCGAACATTTGCTCTGAACTTGTGGGCCGCCCATCCAGAAGACTGTCAAAATCAGGCCAACAAGGAAGATGGCAATGGAAGATTGGTTAGTGTCCCTATTGAACCTTGGAAATGCTACATGCAAGGAAGCTCGTCTGGTGTACTTGGAAACGGAATGAAGGAAACAAAGTGGCAGGAAAATATGGCCTCTTCGCTGTTCGACCCCTCGCAGGGCCTGAGCCACCAAACTTAAGCCAGAGATCCCCAGGGGCTGTATGCAGGTGTGGTGGGAAAGACTTGCAGGTCCCTGCCCCAGCACTGATAAAATGTGGGCAGTGACCTTCTAGCTACCCTTGAAGAACCCCAGAGAGACCACTGACTGGCTGGATGCAGATGCTTGGACAGGCAAAGCCTCCAAGCTACACCTGAGTCAGCCAGGCTGCCTAAGTTCCAGACTTGGTGCTCATGTTGCCCATGTTGGCACAGGTTCTGCTTAGCCCAGTGGGGCAGCTTCCCCAGTGAAACGCCCTGCGCTGTTGCCAGCACAAGAGAGGGCTTCCCTCAAGCACGGGTTCCCCAATGCATGCCAGGGCGATACTGAGCTCTGGCTTTATTCGAGAAGAGAAGCTCATATAGAAGGCAGTAAGAGGGTCAGCAGCTCCCCAATGAGCCTCCTGTCAAAGCCCCGCCCCATATTGCTGTGTCTCAAGGCCACTCTATTTCCTCTCTACACTTCTGCTCCAGGTGCAGCGGAGAATGTTTCTGGGTATCAGTTTGTTAGAGACCACTTCTCCTACTGGCTCCTGGTCCCCTGCCAGGCTGCTGGAATTCAAGGCTCTCTCTCCCTGTGTCAGGAGCTGTCTGAGCTTGGCCCAGCAGGAGAGTTTGTACTTTGGGGCAGGAAGCTCTTCTCAGCACTGTCTCCTTTTGTGCCAAGGACTCCAGCAAAACCTGCTTTGGCACCTCTTGGAGAATAGTGTGCACCAGGTCCCCATGTGGGCTAGGGAGCTCCAGCCACATGCATGGGGGCAGTCTGAGGATCAGGGTGATGAAAGCTGCTGTTCACATTGATCGGAGCTGAAGGATTCTTGTGTTGCCCCAAACTTCTCTGTGGCAAAGGATCCCTTTGTGCGCTCCCTGGATCTCAGCGGTTCTGGCTGGGGCGGGTGGGGAAGGGATTTGGCAATATGAAAGGTTGATCATAAACATCATGAAACGGGTCACCTGGCCCGGGACTTACATTTCAACAAAGCAGCTTGTGTTGCTGGCTGTTGATAACCCGCCCTTTACACATTTCAGAAAAGCTGCTTGTCTGTCAATGGGTGTCACTCTGCTCCTCCTAAGAGTGAGATCCGGCAGTGTGCGGAGAACAGAAAGCGGGTTGATGAATGATTTCCAGGGCATTGTATGAAAAGGGTGGGTGGACAGCTTTTGTGTAGCCTTGTAGTTCTGTGAGCCCAGGTGTGGGATCTCCCCTCTCCTGACGTGGGAGAAAATGGACAGGAACAATGGGATTGGGAAAGCCTGACCCTTCTACCACAGGAGATCTGTGAAGTGAAGGAGCAGAAGATATCTGCCTGTGGCGTTTCGTGAGCACAGGATGCCATCGGGGAGAGTGTCTCTGCCCCCAGCCAGGATGGCGAGGAGCTGTGCAGTTTCCCTCAGTCATTGAGTTTCCGGGTGGATGGGAACCCTGTCAGTTAATCAGTGTAACTGCAGTGAGAGAAAAGGCCTCAGCAATCAAACTAGCCTCCCCTCTGTAAACTCATTATCCTGGAGCCTGGTTAGCCTTCCCAGGCCGAATGCAGGTGACAGGCACAGATAACACACTTGAGTTTTCATTATGTTTAATGGGCCATTATTAGACCAGCATCTCTTCAGCTGTGTGTTTTCATTGTGCCTCAGCACTGAATGACGGCGGCTGGCATAAGGGAAGCTACCGTTGTGTCTGATCCTTTGCGTGGGTCTTATTGTCTGCAGTGAGTCAGTGGCAACTGTTGCACTGTGTCTACGCCCTGATGATTCCTAGCCCTCCCCAGTGACATGAACTGAGTAATTAGAACAAATGCACTGGGAAGCCTCCTAATGTTTCTAACGCATCACTTCTCCCCCCCCCGTTGGATTTCCTGACACACACCCTGTGTTTAAGGAAGTGTGATGTGCAATCAGTTGGATGGCTGAGGTTCTCATTAGTCTAGGACATTTCTGTTATGGGCTGGCACTTACACTGCCCCTCCTTTAAGATCTCTGGGGATTTCTCAAGCACAGCTTCTCTTCCTGCCTTCCTCATGCAGGATTGTTACTTTATTTTCTTCATCCAGGCCACCTGTGTGGCAGGCACTAGAGGGCTGCTTGCCGGGATCTGCGTGACACCTCTGGGGCAGATGAAGCCCATGACTGTACAAGTTGGACCTCCCTGGTCCAGCACCCTCGGGACCTGACTGGTCCCAGATGAGGGATTTTTCTGGACCAGGGAAGGACATTTCTGGCCCCCCCTGCTGCCACTCCTCCCTCCCCTTCCCACTGCGCCCCCCTAGGCTTCCCAGCTTCCCCTGCAGCCCACACAAGCTGTGCACCAGCTCCCCTCTGAAAGACAATCGCCCCGCCCCGGTCCCTGCCCGACAGGAGCGTGTGGGCTGTTCGCATCCATCCGCGTGTGTGTCCTGATCTCTGAGGGGCCCCGCTCGCCCTGCTCCTCTGTCTGTTCCAGCCTCGTTCAACCTTGTGACTACACTGACCCTATGTCCGCACGGGCGGGGTCCCCGAAACCTCTCTCACCAGCCCTGCTCTCCCATCCTCCCCCTTTCCCATAACCCAGCTGAGCCCGCACTCCCTGGGACCCTGCCCCCGCCCCTTGCAGCCCAATGAGACATGCACTGGCTCCTGGGCTCCATCCCTCTGCAGTGTGCTGGGACTCTGGTCCTGGAGCATCCAGGGTCATGCCAGACCACAGATGTTGCTGGACCAGGGAATCCTGGATTTTAGAGGTGCAACCTGCAGTCTATTGGCCCAGGGTTTATGAAGTGGGATTTAACTTAAAACCATTTAGTGACTGGCTAGGAAACCTCCATTTCTTGTTTGTTTGCCAGGCCAGGGTCAAACACCAGACTGAAACCCAGGACTTAAGTTTCAACAAAGCAGCTTGTGGTGCCGGCTGTTGATAATCCGCCCCTATTCATTTCAGCAAAGCTGCTTGTCTGCTGTTCTGTGTCACTGCTCCTCCTAGGAGTGAGATCCGGCAGAGTACGGAGGAACAGCTAGCAGTACAGAGAGGGGGTTGATCAGTGATTTCCAGGGCACTGGATGAAAAGGGTGGACAGCTGTTGTGTAGCCTTGTAGTTCAGTGAGCCCAGGTGTGGGGTCTCCTGTTGCAACATGGTTAACCAGAGACACTGGAATAGTTGGACAACAGCCAATGCACTCTAGTCTATCACTGATGTTCTCGAACCGTGGATTTGGACTCTGAAGTGGGTTGCAGCCAGCAGGGCCAACAGCCACCAATGGGCCCAGGGTGGTGTGGTGGGTGGCTC